GTCGTAAAAAGGCGCTGAACTCAGAGCGCTGAGACGGCGGCTAGGGTCTGGGTATTATGGGGGAAAGCGAAGAATGAAATGCCAAAAATGTGTTACAATATGAAAGAAAAGCAAAAGCGGCTAAAAGATGCGGCTCTCTGTGTGAAAGGAACACGCCTAAACCCTGATAAATGCGCCAGGCAGCAGAAAGAGTTTTAAAAGGTGTTAGAGCCAGGCACACACACACACGCACACCTGTCGCAAAGAAAGCCAAGACAACAATAAAGAGTCCGAGTCCGAGTCCGAGGCAGAGGCAGAGGCGTGCCATAAAAAATACAATGGGGGGCGGCCCCCAAACTGAACGAGATGACAAACAGTTTGGACATTTATGAGCAGCATTTAATGGACATTTGACTACCGGAATTTAACGAAACAGTTCGGAAAAGGGGCGGAGCAGGGGCAGCGACATGGGGGGGGGGGGGGGGGGTCAGGGGTTAGGCTATTGAATGATTCGAATGATTCGTTGCGCATTCGCTTATTGATTGCCGTCTGCGGAAATGATGCGCGCTAAGCAGGAAATGCTGCAGCAAGTGCTTCGTATAAATTTCTAGATCACATGTCTTTTTTTAATTATTAATATTATTATTATATTCTTTTAGCCAATCGGCGTCTAATCTGTGTGAAATTTATAATACAAGAGTCGCTTAGCTAACGTCCTATCAGCAGCTGATATAACCACAAGGCAGGCACGCATGTCATTATCTGCTGTCTCTTTGCGCTTTTTCTATTACCACTTTTATTCTCTATTAAAGGGTATTGGGTATTTGTAGTGCAATTTGTAACGCAGCTTAGGCATATCCTCAGATATTCAAAGCCGCATCGAAACGAACCGAACTGAAATATTATAAAGCTCCCTTGTCAACAGTCGAAAGGGTATTTAGACCTCGCCTCGTTTTTTCTTTTGTCTTTTCGATATCGTGCGGCAAATTATCACACAACAACAATAAAACTAAATGCTTTATAATTAGTTGCAAAATCAATTGAAGCTATGAGACTCGATGTATTATGTTCGCACAGCCAAATAAATAATAATAATAACAATTTATAAAATGATTTGTTGCCGTTTGTACTTCTTTTGTGGTTATTTATAAGCGCCCACAAACTATAAAGTTTGGAGAGAAAATAGGTAGCGCCCATATCTCTGCGCAGACCCACATAACCAGAGCTTTATTATCTGCCCAACTTAGTCTTATCTTAATCCCATTCACGATTCACTAAGCGTATGCGTCCACATATAAAACTGTCAAAAAAAAAAAAAAGAACACAAAAATAAAAATAGGAAAAAAAGCTGACAACATTCTTGTCGAGCTTTGTCTATAAAAATTTTGTCGAACTTGCGGTTTGATTTAGGCAAGAAGACAATGCCGATAAGTCGATTGTGTGTGTGTGCGAGTGTGTGCGTGTGTGTGTTGATATCGTCGACACAAAATTCAGTTAATACTTTGATTTATTTAATATATAACACAATTTTTAGGGTTTTTCCATATACTTTTTTCAGTTCGCGTTCAAAAGACAAAAATCACTTGTAAATCCATCCAAATGGCATGAAATAGATGAAGCTGATTATGAACTGACTAAGGCGTCTATATAGCCATATGGCACACACACACACACTTACACACAATTGAGGAATTTGTTGTGCGGCAGATAAATAATAATTACACTCACACGACATAATCAATTATGCCTGCTAATAAATGCCCCGGGACACATGTAGTCCATCAATATGTGACTTGCCTGTATGTGTGAGTGTGTGTGCGTGTGTATCTGTGTGTGTGTGTTATCCACAAATGTGCGTTGTACTAATCACGCCAGCATGTTCATAATCAATTTTATCGCACTTATTTGGATTAATTGCGATATCAATGACAGCTTGGCGACGGGCGGGGACAAAGGGGGCGGGGCAGCGGCGGGAGGGCGAAGACGTCAGCGCCGCAGTCATCAGACCCAGTTCCGATAAAAAACAAAAGTGAAGAGTGTTCTAGACGGGCGTGACAGGCTACGAGATACCCTAAATAATCTTGCTCAATATCGATATTTATCGACAGGATATCGAGGCAGATATGAAGATATCACAAGCAAATGAATTGTCGAATTTCGAGGAATGCTTATAAGTCCATCGATATTAATCAAAGTTACAGAAATCGAAAATATTGAGGAGGATATGAAGATATGGCAACACGATTTGAAGAACATCGATAAATATCGATAAATATCGATAAATATCGATAAATATCGATAAATATCGACAATACAGAAATCAAAGATATCGAGGACTTCACATGATAAATTCTCGTGTCTTTAGCTTGTTTCCCAGCTAAGCGCATTCACAAAAGCGAACCGAATGACATGTCCAGAGAGTCTCGCTCCACAGCCTGGCCAAAATGGGCCAAGAGATGCCTTCTTCTGGCCGTTTCATTTGCATTTGCATTTGTCCTAAACAATTTCTCACTTGCCCATTTTCAATGATAAAGCCGATGACGCGCTGCAAGCTAAAGTCAAACATTAACAGTTACAGTTACATGCTGTTATCGCCAGTTATCGTGCCCATATCTAAGTCGGGCGAGTGTGTGTGTGGGGCGTTAGGTGGTGGGGGGCGGAGGTGCGGAGGTGCGCCTTTGTCAACGCCTTATGCCCAAATTAGCAATAAGCAGCAAAAGTCGCCGACGCACCCAGCACAGAGGATTATCTTATCTGGCAGAGCTAAAAGCTTGGATATCGCCACCTGAGAGGAGGGCGTGGGGCGTTGGGGCAAGACGCATTACAAGAGGCAATTAGCCAAGAGGCCGCCGCATGGTTAAGCATACAGAAAAAAACCAGTAAGAGGTTCTAGTCGGGAGCTCCCGACTAGGGGATACCCTGAACCCTCTTCTTCCAACATCAAATGCATATATATATTCTATTTTAGAAGCTATATGTCAACTTTGGTGACTCTAGCTCTTATTATTTACCAAAACTGCCCAAAAAACAGAATATCGATATCGATTTTTATCGATTGCTTGGAAACGGAGTAAGTTATCGATTATCGGAAACAAACTCGATCTGCGCGGGCACTAGGAGCAGCCACATCTATAGGTTCTGAGATCCTTGCGTTCATACATACGGACAGACGGACGGACGGACAGATAGACGGACATGGCTAGATCGTCTCGGCTATTGATGCTGATCAAGAATATATATACTTTATGGGGTCGGAGATGTTTCCTTCTGCCTGTTACATACATTTGGATTTTGTACAAATACAATATACCCTTATACCCATTTTTAATGGGTTCAGGGTATAAAAAGAAGAGGAAAAAAAGCCAAACCAATATTTACACCAGCTGGAAAAGCAACGCTTATCGTGCTCCAATCTCCACTCGGAACTCGGTGAAGCGGCGCCGATAAGGATTATCTCTTAATCTGCATAAATAGCGAAAAATTCTCGCACATGGAGTTCTCTTTTATTTATATTAATTTTTTTTTTATCACAAATGAACCCGATTTAGTGCACAGCATTTATGTGTGTGTGGGTGTGTGTTTTTTTGGTGTACCCTAACCAAAAGTTGGTCGACTTGGGGGTTCGAACCAGCGGGCAGAAAAATCTGTTAAAAGAAGCTAGAAGCTATTCTAATTAGAAAAACATAAAACTATTTATGTGAACATTATTTCCTAATCTCATTTTTGTATTGTTTTTAACACCTGGAAGAGAAGCTACAGATCCCGCAGTTCCATTATCAATCTGATCCAGCTTTAAGGTGCATTGTAGAATTTAATTTTATTTGAATATAACTTTTATATATTGCTTACATATTTGAAAATATTTACCATATCGAATGATATAGAAACCCTAGCTCCTGAACATTAGAAGAAAAAAAAAACTAAAACATGCTAAATTTGATTAAATAAAATTTTTAAGGGAAGCACTCGACATTTTTAATGGAGATATCCTTTATAATCTAAGCGTAGCAAGTCGAGAAATATAATATACATTTTTGAGTAAATAAATTGGAAAAAGTCGCAAAAACTTGACTTTTTTTTTGCACATAAAGCTTGGAAGTCGAGAGATAAGTCTAATTTCTTTTTATGGATATGAGCCAGATATATATTTATTTATATATATGATAAATAAGCTTCAATATTTTCAATAGAAATATAATTCGAGTTTTTTATGTAGATAACCCCAAGATATTCATGCTATCAAAGAATAGTTGCCAAAGGCCTAAGCTCATCTAGTATGTAATGCTATTTATGGGTTTCCCTATACCGGATAGGGTATTCTAGGCTCGGTGCTTAACTGTTGGCATTTGCAGCGTTGTATTTATTTGCACTGATTCACATTGTTGTCGCAGAGACGGAAGGGCAAGCGGCCTTTTGAAGTTTAACGGTGACTAATGTACGTAGCACCCATTGAAATAGTTTACGGCTAAATCCGAGAATAAACCTGCGCCACAAAATGACGTCCAGCTAAATCTGAAGCGTATGAAAATTTAAAACGATAATGGGAGAAAGGGAGAAAGGTATCAGGTGATATGTTTGTAAGCGATTGGATATTACGAGTTGGAGCATGAATATAATAGATTATCATGAGCTTGTAGAGGGTATTATAAGTTCATCATATCCGACCTTATAGAGAACATATATGCTTAACATATATATAACAACAGACAAATAGATGTAGGTAAATTCTTTAGAATTAAAGCTAAGCTCCTTAAACTTGAGTCGGGTTTGCAAGCCTTATATATGTCGGAATAGGATGCATCGTACCACTATATATCATATAGTTACCATAGGAACAATCGGTCGAAAATGAAGTGAATTTATGAAAAACTTTCGTAAAATAAACCTAGCGATAAAAAGTTGTGACTACTTCGGCATTTAACAAACTTTGAGCCTGGCTTTGAGTAGTTCCGAGGACTATCAGAATTTCAAAAAGCCTGCATATATAACTGTATAGATGTGTACTTGATTGTAGAACTCACCTGCTGTCCGGCATTGGCTGCCACCCAGGCCTCGGCGAAGGTTTCCATAGCGCTTTGAAAGTCCATCATGGAACGAGCTGGCGTTCTTCAGCTTCAGTTGCGATTCTTTCAATTTGAATTTGTGGCACTCGAAGTTCAACGATTTGTTAGTTTTTATATATGTATTTTGTGTGGGCGTGGCCGTTGATTTGGCATTAATTGGTCTTGGTTGGTTTGTGATGGAAACGTTGCATCAATTATTATAATTTCGCGATAAGGCTCTAAAGCACGCTTTGATTACGAGAGGGAGAGCGCCAACTTTATGGCCAAAGCAAATTAGACGCACACAAACGGGCAGCTGAACACACCTGAACACCTGAGAGCTCACGACACGGCGACGCGACTTGCAACGGCGGCAACTGCGTTTGGCGGAACGGATTCGTTGAGGCTGCCGCAGCGGCTGCTCTGGCTCTGGCTCTGGCTGTGGCACGGCTCAGCGCGACGCGACATCATTAGCACACGGGCGCGGATACGCCATAAAAAATGTTGTGGGCGCTCTTAATATGCTGGGCGCTGTGGGCGTGGCAGCGTGTCAAAAGTCAAACCAGCGAAGCGCACAAAGATCCTCGGCAAGCTGCCAATGAAGACTGACTGGCGCGCGCGGTGCAAATTCAACGATTCTTCGTTTCTCTAATGCTCTTTGTTATTGTTCTTGTGATAAGCGCAGCCTGTTGTGCTGTTTTGTTTACTCGGTTGCTCTCTTATTTTTATTTGGCTTGATGTAGCTCGAATTTGTGTCCAAATGTGACGTGTATCGAGTGCTCTGCTCTGGAACGGACGCGCGTCAAGACATCCTTTCACAGCACAAGTTGTCGCACAACTGACAAATTCTTTCGCATTCGCACTGCCCGACCCGAGCCCGAACCGCCCCCGACCCGGACCCGTACCCGGACCCGGCCCGAACCGGCCGGCATCGGCCTGCAGCCGCGTGCCGCACGACGCGATGTTCTTCGCATTCGTCTCTGTTTCATTTGCTGCTGACGTTTGCATTTGTGTGCGTAACAATGCCTCTCGCTCTCTCGTTGCTCTCGCTCTCTCTCGCTCTGCCGCTCTCTCTCTCTCTCTCTCTCTGTCAGTCGCTCTCTTGTGTTTCAAATAGTAGCAGAACTGCAAAATAGTATAAATTGTTCGGGATTATCAGAGTTATTCTATAAATATTGGATGGTTATTTTAATGCACATTAACTGAGAGACTTTGCTCGTGAAAGAGCTTTCTTAGAAACTCAAATACACTTTTTCTTAGAACTATCAAATTCGGTGGAAATTATTAAGATTATTTGAAGAGCTTTTGGCAAAGATTCTACATGATTTGGATCAGTTATTGCCAAGGCAAAGGCTCTGTTTGACAAGGTTTGGTAAAGATCCTAACTGAAATAATCCCAGACAATTTGAACAGACATAGGTATGTAACCCTTGCACATACATATGTAACATACATTTGTAATCCTGGTAATAAGTTCTTTTTACATAATTGGTTGGTTTTAATTTGAATTAGAACTAACTAATGCTTTCTGGTTTATAAGAGAATTATAAGAGAATAGATTTGTGGCCTTAAATGATATTTTAGTGACATATCTGGGCAGTATTATGGAATTTTGTTCCAAGGTACAATCCTCCAGAAACCCCAAAATATGTTATTATTAAGTTTAAAACTGTACATATTTCAACTTTTTAATAATAATATTAACATAATAATGAATAAACCTAATAAAACCATGTAAAAAACAAAAACATCTGTTAAACAAGAGTAAATTCTATTGAAATTCCATAAAACCAACCTTACCAAAAAAAAGGTAGTAGAAATAGTAGTATTTTGCTCAGAGAGCGTAGGTCTTTGCTTGTGTGTGTGCATGTGACCAAAACAAAACACGCACACAACGACACCAACGAGAGCGAGCGAAAGAGAGAGTGAACGCGAGAGAGCCACCGCACACGCACACACACACACACACACTAGCACTCGCACGCACACGAACTGGGGTAAACCTGTTCCGGCGCAGAATTGCACTTGTCTCGCGACAGGCTCGCCAACATGCCCCACCCCAGCCCGCCCCCCACCCACATGAGCGACTTCCCTTCGGCTGCGCGTTTTCTTTTACTTTTTGTGCGCTGTAGCGAAATTCAATGGATTTGCCGCAAATTCGGGTGGAATTATGCCACACACACACGCGCGCACACTCGCGCACACACACACACACAACTGAGCTATTGTTGAGAGTGGGCGTGGGCGTGAGCCACTCGTACAGCGACGGCTAAGCGGGCAGCGTGCGCGCGAGTGCGAGCGATGCGGGAATAGATTCGCGCGCCTGTGCCCGACCGGGATGAAAGAGTAAATCGGCAGCGCTTATTATTATTATGTCGTTATGGGGAGCCGAGGCCCAGCGGCAGCGGCAGAGGCAGAGGCAGAGGCGGGCGCAGTAGCAACACCCACTCCGCATTTAGCACCTCGACGAATGGAAATGGATGGCGGCGACAGTGCGCGCGTATGTGTGTGAGTGAGTGTCCGTGTTCGTGCCTTTGACACGAAGTGACCACTTGGCGGAGACGCAGATAAGAGCGCAGATAATGCGCGCGCATTACATGTGATTAGGTGTTCGGCGAGCTGGGTTTAGCCAACCGCCGCGAAGGAAACACAGGCCCCGAGTACATGGTACATAGCCAGCCGGCAGGATACATCCGGTATATGGGTCGCTCTCCATTGGGTGGAGTTACCGCATGCAAAAGCAGTTATTGCATTATAATTACTCGCAGCTGCATTCAGTTTGCCAGCCCTAACGAGAATCTAATTAATTTACAAAAAATTCATATCATCTTATACTTAATAAAACGTAGTATATATATATATTTACATAGGTATATGTAGTCGTTTCAGGGGTGGGGGGAGTCGTAGAGCATTTTGCAATTGGCGGAGATTAACAGCCACAAAAAAAACTCGGCAAATTTTATCGTCATTCTTATCCGTCTTCCTGCAAAAAATGCCATGTGCGCTCTCCCTCTCTCACTCTCTTGTCGCTCACTTACACACACACACACACACACACACACACATAACCATGCACACAAGCACACACACGCACAAAACATAACCATGCACTCGCATATTGTCGGGCAGCTCTCGCTCTCTCCCTTTCGCTCTTGCACGAGCGTGCCAGAGCGAGATAACCCATAAAAATTTCGAGCAAAAGCAAAGATGAGCAAAGCGTAAACGCAAACGAAAAAGCAAAGCGTGCTGCAACAACAACAGCAACAACAACAACAGCGGCAGCAACATCAGCAAAAATATCACAAAATAAACATAAAAAGCGCCGGCAAACCAGTTCGGATAGACTCCGCCCTCGGCGTACGCTGATTGGCTAAGCTTTGCCTTTGCCCAAGACTTCATCTTTTTTGTTTTGTGCGCTTTGCTCTGTATGTTACTGTGGTTGTTGTTCTTCTTAGTTGTTGTTGTTTTTTTTGTTTTTTTGTTGGCTGCGGTTTTATCGCCTCCAACGACAGCGACGTCGGCGTCTTGCCACTTAGTTAACAGCGTCGCAGCAGCCCCTCACCCAGCCCAGACTCCTGGGGTGGGCTTTACCAAATTTCGAGCCCCAAATCTTTGCTGTTCTTTGAATTTTGTAAATGTGCACATATTTACATATGAAAACGGTGCTTCTACGAATATAGCTTATTATGCACGAGTACGTCGGGCTGGCAAAAATTGGGGTTAAAAGTATGTTACGTTTTTATGGTACCTAATGCAAATGGAGCTAAATGAATGCATATATTGTATATACAATAAAAATATTTATATCTATGGCACAAAAAATAATCTTATCCAACTTCCAGATTTCAGCGGAAATATATATAAATATATTTCATAAGTAACATATTAAAAACCATGTTAGCTACAATATATATTTTAATTGGCAAACAAATTTGTTTGAGAAATCTAAGAAATTAAATCTATAAAATAAATATTTTATTTATTTTTAATGTAGGACCTAAAAACAGAAAATTTATAAATTCTTTGTTACAAAGAACATCCAAGCATGAATGAAATATTTTTAAGAAATATTATAAATAATCTTAATTACAGAAAATTTTCTTGAACAATAATAAATGAATAGCTTCTTTTTTTTAGATATTTGCATTTAAAAATTATAATATACAAGCAGCAAATATTTCAATACGCCAAGGACCTCGGCTAGTTAAAAATAAATGTAAAAAAAAGCAAAATTGCGAAAGGACTTGACATGCTATGAAGTCCGCCAAGGGAAAATCAATAATTTTATTAAAGTTCTTTGCTGCCGGCTGCTGTGCTTTTCTTTTTGATATGTTTTTTCTTTTTCCTAACAGCAAGGGAGGGGGGGGGGGGGGGGGGGGGGCGGAGGGCGCGACATAGAATGTAACATGTGGAAATTTTCAACTTTAAGCGCGAGAGAACAAACATGGCAAATGGACCGCAGGCGAACCTGATGCCCCCCCGCACTGTCCACTTGGGTGGGCCTCTTCACTTATTATTGTTATTACTCAATGTGCCACCATTCAGCCGCGTAAACGGTCGTTGCCGTCAGCCGCGTCATCATCATGGGGCCCAGTCAAGGCACGTAAGGGTACACATAATGCCAACAGGACTCGACAACGTCAACATCATGATCATCATTGCCGTTGTCGCTGGCATAATGACAAAAGGACATTCATTAAGTTTTTGATTTCTGATTTTATTGTTGATTAAGCCCCAACCCCCATTGGTCTGTAGCCCACTAGCCTGGCCGTGGGTAATGGTTATAATGCTGAAACCGACACCAAGCAGCAGCAGCAGCAGCAGCAGGAGCAGGAGCAGCGGCAACTGTGGTATTGTCCTCTCTATCGTGCTGAGCACTTCCGGCGCAGAGCGTCAACTTGACATTTCCGTTTTTTCGGGCTGATGTCTCTGCCAGCCAGCCAGCACTTGAGGCAGCCAGCCACCCAGGCTGGAGTAGCCAAGTGTTGTTGCTGGCTTATCACCCGGCGTCGTCCTGCCAGGGCGCGCACACACACACACACACATATCTATATACACATATATATACCCTATATAAAGCACATAAAGCAGAGAGACGACTCTTGCGTTTTGGCCAACAGCCAACCAGTTCGTGTTGCCAGCATTTTGATTAAAGCCACAGCCAAACCATATGTGTATCTATGTGTGCGTGTGTGTGTGTGCATGTGTGTGTGTGTGGCAGCATTATCCTTGCTGTGGATCTGGCACTGTGTGTGCATTTCGTACATAGCCGAACTGAAGTGCTGCCATTCGCTTGGCTCAAGTATTGACATTGCCAATGTTGCCCCAGGCAAGCGGGCAGATGGAGGCGAATGCCAGGGTAGGGCGTGGTGCGGGGGTGGCGGCGGCTCGTCGCCTGGCGGTGCCATTGGGGAGCTCTTCTCAGCCGAGCAGCTCGTTTGCAGGCGGCAAGCAAATGCGCCTGCGCTAATTTTTGGGTTTTACTTGATTTTTATTTTCCAGCGCTTGATGCCATTTATTTTTGTTTTTTTTTTTTTCGAGTGTATTTGTATATAAGGAATAA